TTCTATCAACATAAATCTATCTGTTCCTAGTCCTGCTACTAACTCTCAGTCTTCATCTCAACCAACTGCCTCTAATGACTCTTTATCACCTCAATCTAACATTGGTTCCAACCTATATCAACACCTCTTACTGACCCTTCACACTCTATGCCAATGAGTACTTCCTCCCCACTTGCCTCCATAACCCCACCTAATGAGTCTACCTCAGCTAATACCTTTTCATCATCTACCTCCTCACCTATACCCTCCATACACCCTCAAAACACTCATCTTATGGTGACCAGGGCCAAAAATGGCGTTGTTCAGCCTCTGTTACATCCCACCCTTCTCTTAACTCATGTTGAACCAGCCACTTATAAGCAGGCCATGGTTGTCCCTGAGTGGTATGCTGCTATGCAATCTGAATGAGGCACTGCTGAAAAATAACACATGGACCCTGGTTCCCGCTCCATCTCACAGGAAACCAATTGGTTGTAAATGAGGTTTTCGAGTAAAAGAAAACCCAGATGGCTCCATGAACAAGTACAAGGCCAGATTGGTAGCAAAAGGGTTCCATCAAATAGAATGGTTTGACTACACTGAGACATTTTCACCTATAGTCAAACCAATCACTGTCAGGGTTGTATTGACATTAGCTATATCACAAAAGTGGACTATCCAACAGTTGGATGTAAATAATGCCTTTTTGAATGGCATTCTTAATGAGGAAGTATACATGGTTCAGCCTCCAGGTTTTGAACAAGGTGAGTCAGGCTTAGTTTGCAAGCTCCACAAAGCATTATATGGGCTTAAGCAGGCCCCCATAGCCTGGTTTGATAGGCTCAAAGGTGCTCCTCTCTCACTTGGGTTCACAGCCAGCAAGTGTGACCCCTCTCTATTCATTCTACATTCTGCTTCATGTTACACGCTTGTCTTAGTGTATGTGGATGGCATCATCATCACTGGATCCTCACAAAAGTTTATTCACACCTTAGTGCCCAAGCTCAACCTTTCATTCTCTCTAAAGGATCTTGGTCAGCTGGATTATTTTCTTGGCATAGAGGTCCATCATCTTGCTAATGGCTCCCTCTTATTGTCTCAAAGCAAATACATTAGGGATCTCTTGACGAGAACTCATATGTTAGCAGCTAAGAGTATTGCTTCTCCTATGGCTTCTAGTACAAAGCTATCTAAAGTTGGCTCAGCTCAAGTTAGTGACCCAACTTACTTCAGGTCTGTGGTATGGGCTCTGCAATATGCCACTGTCACCAGACCTAAAATCTCCTACGTTGTTAACAAGGTCTGCCAATTCTTATCTAACCCTTTAGAAGATCATTGGAAAGCTGTTAAGATAATTTTAAGGTATCTACAAGGTTTTGTGATGGCCTCTTACTTGAATCAGCTGACCTCAGTGCTCCCATCACAATCACAGGGTTTTGTGATGCAGATTGGCCATCAGACCTGGATGACAGGAGATCTACTTCAGGGGCATGCCTCTTCCTAGGACCAAATCTTGTATCTTGGTGGGCAAAGAAGCAAACTTTGGTGGTCAGATCCAGTGCTGAAGCAGAATACAGAAGCCTAGTACATGCGACAGCTGAGATTTTGTGGCTTCAATCTCTTCTCCTTGAACTTCAAGTCAAGCATCAGGTCCCTAGAATCCTTTGTGACAACCTCAGTGCTGTCTCACTAGCTCACAATCCAGTTCTGCACTCTAGAACAAAGCACATGGAATTGGATATATTTTTTGTCAGAGAGAAAGTCCTTAAACAAAAGTCTGACTGTAGCTCACATTCCTGCTTCTGACCAATGGGCAGATGTGCTAACAAAACCCCTGTCCACCAACAGATTCCTAGTTCTTCAAGACAAACTTAGACTTATTGACAAGTTAAAACTTGATCAACCTCCCTAAGTTTGAGGGGGGAATATTAGAGTATAAATGAATTATCATCACATAGTGTAACAGAATCAGTTAGGATTCTGCTACAACAGCTGTAAGTGAGTGATCATTATAGTGTAACAGAATTAGTTAGAATCAGTTACAAAAGTAGGCTATATATATACCTCAATTGTAACAGAATTACACAATAACAATAATACAGTTTCACTCTCTCTCTCTCTCTCTCTCTCTCTCTCTCCGCCTCTCTCTTTCAACTCTACTCTTTCTTCTTCTTCCTTTCTCCATGTAACATCAACTTCTAACACATACCACTGGGCTACACATTCGGGGACAAAGATGCTTGCTTATTTTGAACCAAGTATTGTAAATGGATTCTCAATATTGATCTTATTTGTTTCCTGTAACATGCTATAAAACAGAACAGTTATGCTAAGGTCTTATGATATGCGGCTTGATATAATATGTTGGAAATTGTGCGATTCTTTTCATAGAAAAATCAAATGAAATAACACAAAAGAAGTAAACATGTTACGGGCTAAACTACTCTCGGTACTTTGCTTCTTTCTTGAGCTGTTTATAAGAGGAACATTTTAACAATTGTAATCATATGTTTATATTTTTATATTTAAATTTCATTGAGAATTGGACATTCAAGTTCAATTTTTCTAAACCTGTTTTTATGATAATATTGTGTTTGTATTTTAATTGCTTGTTTACATCTTTTCCCTGCAGGTTTCTTTAATTATTTATTAATAATGAGTTTATCATGTTCTTTTTTGCTGTGAACCATTGCAAAAACTTAAGCAGTTAGCTGAAGACGCATGAATTGGGTTATAAATTATTTCTAATGCCCCTTCCTATAAAAGCTTTTTGATCTTGAAGAATAGCAAATGCATAAGTCCTGTCTATCTATATTGAACTTTAAAAGATATGATGTTATGGAATGAACCAATTATCCCAAAAGCTTAAGCTGTCATGGAAAGACACCTGAAAGGTTTTTATTATTATATTTCTAACAAGATCTTTTGGTTATGATTTCAGCATTAAAATATTCAACAGCAGTGCCAGTTATTTTTCTTTCTGCTCTTAAATATCATGTTTTGCCCGAGCAGTGGACAAACATCTATAGGCCTCTTTGGCTTCTGTCAAGTGTTGTGAACTCATCATACTCTTTCTATTGGGACGTAACTCGAGATTGGGACCTAAGGTATGAGGAATATTTGTCCTGCCATATATCTTTAATGTTATTTCAAACTAAGCTAAGCTTCTTTCCAAAATGTTTTCATTCCCAGTATTTACTCTCTGGATGGCATTTAATTTTATTTTATCTGATGACTCATGTGACTTGGTGTGATAATATTCCTCTCTCTATTTTGCCAGTGGCTTCACTCGAATATTCAAGTTCAGCAAACCACATGTGTTCTCATATATGTTGCATGGTCGGAGATGGGTAAGTATAATTGTATGAGAATACCTATAGTTCACTAAATCCTTTTCCCTTATAATTTGTCTTTTATTGTGGTTCTTCAAGGTAAACATTTTGCTAGACTTACCTCTTTTACTTTGTAACCGAGCGTGTCTTGTACAATGTTTAGCATGGTAAACAGGTAGGGAGTTTGAAAAATGGGTATTTAAGAGGCCAAAAATACAAACATGATTGGGACTTTAAGATATTTTTTGGGCGTGCCCAAGTATATTTAGTGTAAAATAAAAATTAGCAAGGTAAACACAAACGATCTAATTTAGAAAACTCTAAACAGGCCATGTATTCTTTATTACATGATGAGGACCCAACAAGCCATCTGTGAATGTAGAATTTGTGTTCAATCTTGTAATTTCCTTCAAATTTCAATAAAGATCGATCAAGTCCTTGATGCCATGGTGTAATCAATGGTTAAATTAGCAACTTGTAACTCTTCGAATTAAATCTTATGTTAAATCTTGCTTATGAGATTCTCAGTTTCTATCTGGTTTGATGAATATGTGAAAATCCGCATGGTAAAATTTGAAAGAATAGAACAGTAGAGTGTAGAAAACTGAAACAAAAATTCCGATTGTTTCATCAGTGTTCTGAAGCAGTTTTTGTGTATATGGGATTGCAGGTTTACATTTGGGTGATTGCAAGCAATTTGGTTTTGCGTTGCACATGGACATACAAGCTTTCTGCCCATCTTCGTCACAATTACCTCACGGTGTTCACAATCGCTGCTTTGGAGATTTTCCGCCGCTTCCAGTGGATCTTTTTCCGTGTCGAAAATGAGTGGAACAAGATGAATAACAAATCACACATGCAGCTCTCTATGAGTGAAATGTCAACCGAGGAAGAGAAATTACTTCATTCCATGAATCACAATGTATAGGCTAGAGAACAGTATGATACATGTTTCAAATATTTTGACGATAGGGGAGCTTCATTCCATTTGCTTCACCTTGCATATAAAAATGTCATTCTTTTTCACAAACAGAACAGCTTATATTCAATTATTACTGTGCTTTTCAGTGACATTTTGTTCCAGTCCTCAACAATTGTAATATATTAGTGTATCCCTGATAAGCCTTAGGGTTCATAACATTGTTTATGAATGAACAAGTTGCATCTACAGTATCCCAGAAGCTTATATTAATCTGCAACAAACCTTAGCTATAGTAGTATTTATAGTTTCACTGGTTGAAACAGTGACTACATGGCACGTCCTTCACCAACCAACACTAGCAAAACACTGATTTTGCCCTGTTCTTTGACTGGTGGTTATTGTTTTATGGTCCCTTCATTGGAGCCTAGTATTTAAAGGTACGAAAATGAACCTACAATTATGTTTTGCGTAAGAATCAACCAAGCCAAGTTGCTGTTGCCAACTGTATATTCTCAGGAGTGACTTGGCTTTACCTAGGGCAAATCACAAAGTTGTGGGACCCCTTAAAGAATATAAGTGGCTAGAGGTTTGCAAATATTAAGAAAATCTTTGCTATGGACAGAGCCACACACCCAAACCAGATAACATGCAGAGATGTAATTAGCTCCTTACCACTCAAATAGCAAATTTGAGCATTTGCGACTTCAACTTCCCTGAGTGAAACTTCAACTTACCTGAGTGAAACTTAAATCACCAAGATGGCCTAAATGTTAACAGCAAGTGAGTACAGCAACAACGGCCGGCAGCATCAGCCGGCAACAGGACCTGCTGAACTGAACTTGCCAAGAGTGCTGTGGATCCTGTCTTCCACCTTAGAGAAGCTAGTGGCTCGCAATGAAAAGCTTGTGGATGAGCTGAACCAGCAACTAAATAAACTGAGCTGTGACTCAGTAAGATTAGGGAAGAGCTTGAATGCCTTTCATGGCGTCCGAGCACCAGGCATAAGCATACCTAAGTACCTGGAAAGAATATACAAATACACTAATTGTAGCCCATCATGTTTCGTTGTCGGCTATGTGTATATAGACATGCTGACTCATAAGCACCCTGATTCTCTAGTCTTATCCTTGAATGTTCACAGATTGCTAGTTACCTCTGTCATGGTTGCTTCCAAGATGCTAGATGATGAGTGAGTCCCTAACCCTACTTTACTTCATTCTTAGCTTACTGTTTTATTGTCTTTATTCTAATTTTGTGCATTATTTTTGCATTCTGAGTTGAAGACATTATAACAATGCGGTATATGCTCGAGTAGGAGGGGTGAGCAACGCAGAATTGAACAAGCTGGAATTAGAGTTACTGTTTCTGTTGGATTTTAAAGTTGTGGTTAGCTCTCGAGTTTTCGAGAGTTACTGTCTACACTTAGAAAAAGAGATGCTTGTAAATGGCACAGGCTTGAAGATTGAAAGAACATTGTCACCAAAGTCTTTTGAGACTGAAATTTCAGTTGAAGATAAGAAAAGCTCTTCCCCACCTCAAATTGTGGATTATGGATTGACATAACCTAAGTTCTTCTTTCTTTCTGTTGTCAAATTTGGGGTCCCTTGCCCTGTTTTTAGTCCTTTATGTTTTTCTTCATGGCTAAGCAATTATTGGATTGTTCATTAGCCTGTTGCTTATGGACTTTGTCAAATTTGACTTTAGTTGTGACAAGACATAATCATATCCATTGTTCTCTTTTCTTTTCATTTTTATATTTCATAAAACATGTTACTCTTGGAGTTCTGAGTCCTCATGAATTTTCGTATGTGTGTATAAAGGTGATTTTGAAAAGATTTGTTTTTTTTTTCTTTCTAATTTGATCAATTTTTGTATGTGTCACTTTGGGGAACTCTTCAGCTTGTCGATGGCTAATCAAGAAAACATTCCCCTTGCCATCTCAGGTGGCTCGTTTATGGGCTTTACATGTCCTAAGTGGGACAGATGACACCTTATTTTTAGTCGGTCATTTTGGGATCGTTCTATCTTTCGCTTTACTATGACTTAGTGGTCATATCTTTGGATATAACACTTTTATCAATTCTTCTAATGGAAGTTAAGGGTGTCTGTTGGCATGCGTGTGCTTTAGGAGTTGGTCCCTTTACTGACCTCAACCATCTTGGGCCTGATATTATTATAAATCCATATGCAAATATTTGCGAGAGAATTTCATTGATTATTAAGTTGGAAAAAAATAAACAAACAAAAATCAAATAAAAACAACAAAAATACCATATACTACTTCTGCCTTCAAGTCCAATGAGGTCCTTATTGATCCTTGTCCGAACATTAGTTAATTAACATTCAAACACTTGTTGGCATGTTCTATCTTTTTGGGGTTTTCTCAACCTTCAAGGACCTTTTTCTTGCGGAGTCTTAACGACGCGAGAAAAATAATTTGTATGCTTCTAGTCCGACCTCAAATATGGATACACCATTTTTATTGTGTGGTACTTCATTTTTAGATGCACCGTTGAGGATACTGATCCTTAGGCAACAAATATTGTTTATCGTATGATTCAATTATAAATTGATTTGTAATCAATAACTAAGAACTGTACTTTGACGTTCTTCCTCGATTCCTTCCATTGGAATGTCGCCATTAACTCCTTGCAATCCAATGGCTTTGAGGTCGACCCATTGAACCCCTGAAGGTCATAACCATTGTAGGGTATTTGGTCATTTTTGAGTTAATCGTAGGGTATTTAGCAATCTTGCATACATGATGTCATATGAGCTTCCTTGGTCGATTAGGATATGAAGATATGATAGTTTTCCATAATTTCCCTTACTAGGAGTGGAACATGGTGGTTAGGGATCCTATTGATTAACTACTTGTAAAAAAATGACAACGGGGTTGAATTTTCCTTCTTAGCCACTGATCATGATCCTGCTTTGTTATAAGGGTCATCATCTCCCTCAATTTTCTCTTTACCTGATTGAAAAAGGTTCCCTCAGAGTTGGAGAAACCCATTGATATCATTTCGATGGCCCTCGATCAACTTTATTCATCTAAACTTTCTTCTTACATGGCCTATTCATGTCTTCTTTCTCTCTAATTCTCCTTATTCAAAGAAAAATTAATATGAAGATCCTTCAAGGATTTAAAGAATTTTCAGAACAAGTGGAAAACATTTATACCTTTATGAAAAATACAGTGACCTTCTTTTATACCTTTGTTTTTATTCTTTATTCAAAACCAAGCTTTGTGGGCTCAAAAGTTTTGATCAGAAAAAGTGTTGTTGTTCAAGTCAATTCATTAATGAGTTGTTTTGCTTGTTTTATCCTTTATCTTTTAAAAGACTTAATTCTTTTTTAAGAAAGAATTTATGATCTTGTTAAAAAGCTTGATTCTGAATATGGAGTATTAAAGAATAATGTTGATCAGAAGTAGCTCCATCAAAGTCTTGAATAGTCTCTGATGACTTGTGGCTTCTCAAAAGCATCAGGCTCTGAGACTCGAAAGGAATAAGGATTTCTTGTAACTCTTAAAATAAAAAATTCTTTATGACATATGTTCTCTAAAAAATCCACGTGTCTGAAGATGGGTATGCTCGCTATGAAGCTATCTGGGCAGAATCTGTAGAGTTGTATTGCTTTACTCTTTGGATTCTCTATGGCCTCTCTCTTTTGTCATTTCTTAATTTTCTTATACTTGTTTATCTTACTTGTTGGTTTTCCAAAAGATTTTTTGCATATTGTCTTTTCAAAAATCTAATTGTCTTAAATCTCTTTCTCTCTTGGTTATGCTTTTTTATTCCCTATTTAAATTGATCTCCTTTTGTCTATGTTTTTCACTCTTGTTTCACAACTTGTTTCTCAAACCTGGTTGGCACGGTTGTGCAACCATGCCCTAGTTTTTCAAAATCTCATATCTCTCGCTCCTATTCTAAACTGAGATGACCTATAGCTCAAACCTTGGCGTAAAAAACCAACTGGAGAGCATCAATGAAAGACTAGTCCTCTTTGAAGAATTGGGAGCCCTTGACTATGATCTTATGCTTCTTCTTCACTCAGGCGTACGAATCAAATTTCCTCAAGTAATTTTCAACCTTCTGAAGATAATGTTGCCTCTCCTTGAGAGAAAGTTGCTCTTCGTTCCTTCAAAACGGGTTCTGGGCGAACTCTTCTCTCTGCAAGGAACAATTGTAAATCTGGACGAAGTTTCGTTTAACCTTGGGATGAAGAGTTGTTGGTGAAGATTATGTTGTTTCGTAAGGACAATCCATCCCCCTCTTCCTCCTCTCAAACTTTGGCAGTATAACCTGCCTTAGTTTTCTTTTTTCTTTCCCTGACGTCTTTGTTTTTCCAGTTCTTGTAATAATTTGTGTCTCTTGAGATCCAATGCTTTGGATGTGTTTGTTATTGTGAACTGTATGACTTGTCAAACATTTCCAATCAATGAATGTATCGTGTAAGTTATTATATCAAAAAGATTACTTTTGTTTCAAGGTTGGATGTTTTCTATATTTCCTCTTCTTTTGATTATTCTTTGTGACTTTATTTTGCTTAAGACTTGTATGTTCTGATTCTTAGTTAAATTTTATGTATTCTTTCTTAGACTCTGATTGTATAACCGAATCAATTCCTATGATAAATTGGATGAATCAAATGACAAAGAAATATCAAGTTAAAAGCATAGTGTTTTTTTTGCTAAACTTCTTAATCATAGTTTACATTAACGGAAATAATTTTAATTAAAAGGATCGTATGCAAAAGTTAAAGGGAAAAAACTTCATTGAATTAAAGGAATGATTATAAAAATATATTTATAACATTAATCCTAATCATCCCTAGATTTCCAAGCGCGGGAAATTTTTTCCCAATCTAAGTCTAATTCTTCTTTTTCATCTGAATCAAAATGAACCACTTCTCTTTATCTTCTTCTCCTCTTGAACTTGTAGAAGCACATTTCAATCTCAAGGTTTTGATGATGTCAACAAAGACTCAAGCTCATTCCATGATTGCAAGCAAAAAGTCAAAGCTTTCAAATTGATCAAGATACTTGTTCCGGTATGGGCCCAACCTCGGCAGACCCAATACCGCGTACGGCCCAACAAGCGAATCGGGCGTGCCGGGCACGTGCATCCCTTAAAGACAAGCAGGGCAAGCCGCCAAACACAAGCAACGTCCCAACGACCTTTCATCGTCCACCACACCGGACGAGCAGAACCGTCCCCGGCTCACCAAAGCGCGGCCCTTGGCTCCTCCCCTCCGTGGGGAGAACGACGCGCCCCCGGGGAACCTCCCGGGCTCCCCTCCGCGGGGAGAACAACGTGCCCGGCGCACGTTCTCCACGTGCCCCCCTCCGCGGGGACACGTCACCGGTCAACTGCCCACCTCCGAAAGAGCAGGTCAAACCCACTTTCCGGAGATCTAGGAGCAGTTGAACTAGGGCGAAGACCACGTCCTGGTCTTCACTACGCCACGTAAGCCCTAGAAGTCATTAGGGTTGGGCCTGGACATCCAGCCCACCCCGAATGACCGTTGGCCCAGCGCTGGGGTCTCTCTATAAATACCCTCTTACTCAAGAGGGTCAGGTAACTCTTCTTGCCTCTTTTTCTGTACTCTCACTTCCACTCTGCCAAACTTCTTACTTTGGCATCGGAGTGTCTTGCAGGTACACCCCCCTCCTCCTTCTCACCCCGGTGAACAGGTAGCCGTCCAGCAGCACGTGGCCATATCGTGATCCCTCCTGATTAGGTCAGATCAGTGGCGCTGTCTGTGGGAATCTGAAACTTCCCCGTTACTCCGAGCAGAAAACCAAAAGTTTCACCAAACCTCCACGATCATGGCTAGCCCACGCCGCGACGACACTCCGCATGACCTTACGCTCAACGTCTCCACCAACGGGAAGCAGACAGGAACGACACGTCCGACGGAAGCCGATGAAAGGGACGTGCAAACTGCTTCACCATCATCCGCGGAACGGCCCCTTCAGGCCGATCACCGCCCCCCGAGCCCGCCAGCATTCCACCCCGTTCCCATCCCGGCGGGAGCAGACCCAACGGTGGCCGCTCTCTTTACGACCATCAACCAGACGAACCAGCTGCTGTTCCAACAAAATGCGAGAATTGGAGCATTAGAACGCGTCGGCCCTCCGAGGTACCCCCATCGGGAAGACCAGAACGGAGGTTCGAGGAGTCCCTCACCTCGATCCAGAAACCGCCGACCCCGGCTGGAGAGGCACCGCCCGCAGGTGACACGAGAGCGCACCAGATCCCCGGCAAGACACGTTCGCATGAGGAACCAGAACGCCGCGGCGATCCCAACCGAGGAACCCCGAGGCGAGAACTCAGGCAGGAGATCGAGAACCCGAAACCAGGGACATACCTTGAACGGCTCATCTCCTCACAGATCCCCGACACACAGCGACGAGGATGATTACCGCACCCCGCTGTCCCGGGAGATCATCGCTGCCCCCATACCCCAGGGGATGGAGAAACCGCGGACGCTCTCGACATACGACGACACCTCCGACCCGGACGATCACCTGGAAGACATTGAGGCTATGCTCGACTACC